ACTTGCTCTATTACTATAACACTATACCGCCTTAAAACTTTTATGAACGACTGGGTGTTTAAGGTTAGCGATTTGTCGTATTATCTGGCTGTATAGCAAATGAAAAAACACAATTACTTTACTATGCAAGTAAATTTTTTTATGTTTGAATATTTATGTGTTTTAAAAAAAAATCAGGGCCTCTTTATAACATATGCTACAGGCTCCGCACTAGCTTAATCCGGCACTGCTGTAGAGGATACCTTACTCCTAAGTCGTGCCTATTACCGCACTCCTCTTAAATTGAGATTCGACCTGGGAATGAGTCACAAAGTGTACCTTGCTAATGAGTATTGGTGACCACGTTGCAACCGGGTTAGGTGCCGTCCATAAATGACGTCAAGCACCTGGGGGGGGGGGGGTCAGACATTTGTGACGATGTGTGACGAGGGGGGTGGGGGGATTTTAGAAATGTGACGTCACATAAAAATTCGCAACTTTATACTTAATGTACTTAATGAAATAGACTTTTTAATAAATGTTTACCCCTACAACATCAGAGTGTAGCGCCACATTAAATACGCACTACAATGACAATAGTTTAAAGCGATTTGAAGCATGTTTTTTTTTTGGGGGGGGGGAGGGCAGAGCTTTGTGACGTCATATTTGAGGGGGGTCTGACTCTTTGTGACGTCGTGTGACGAAGGGGAGGGGGGTGTCAAAAATCGTCCAAAATCGCGTGACGTCATTTACGGACGGCCCCTTACACGTAATGCAACGTGCCAGCACCATTATTTGGGTCCGATTACAAATCAGTTATGTTGCAATAGAGTAAAGTTTTGATTATTGGAGGATTTATCTGTGACTCAATATCTGCTGTTAGGTAACTATTCATGTGCCAATTAAAACGTATGAAATAAATATTTTTTTTGTCCAATTTTTTTCAGTTTTCAGTTTATTTATTTTGGTATAGCCCTGTGAGCTTTTCGGCTCTTGAATCGGGTGCAACCACAACAAACAAAAAAACAAAAACACGAACAAGAAAAACATCTTAAAGTGACTATGTGTTGACTGTGCAAACAGAAACTCCAGGAAAAAAACCATCAAAATATTCCTGAAATAGCACCGTACACCAACGCTGTGTGCAAAAAATCCCAGTGGGATGCAAGTCAAACAACAACAACAACCACAATAAAACTTAGATTAAGGCCGTCAGTCTAACTCCGTACTACAACAAAACAAACATGTCCAAACCAAAAAACTTTTCGAAATCACCAAAAAATGAAGCCATAATTGCAACGTAACAGTGATCACAATGTAATTCTTATAAGGCCCCATGATTTAACGTGCAGTCGCCAACTCGTATTTGCTATTCTATCTACGCGGCTTCTCTATTTATGTACCATGAAGAAGGGACGTTGCCCGAAACGTCGCCTATTCATTTTTTATATTTTTTCTTAACGAGCCGCGTCGCCTTGGTAACGAGAGGCCTCCGACCCATGCTCGCGGACGCCATTCCTCGATTCTCCCCTTGCACATTCGAACGACACGAAAGTGTTAAAAATAATTTCCATTAAAACGACATCAGTGTTGCCTCTCAAGGCCGACATCATAACTCATTAAGGCGATGTTAACATTTTTTTTATTGCATCAGTTTGCAATGCTGCTTGCTGTGTAACTCGGCCGTTCGCTTTTATCGCGAATGAGGCGTTTGCAAACCCGCCGATGGTATAAAGCGCTGCGTCGTGATTGCTCCGTGTCGGCGTGGTGGGCGGTGGTGTTGAGACCTCGCTGGCTGACTTTAAAGGTTTATAAACTTTATACTTTACAAGTTTTACACGTAGTAGGACTTTCGCGACCAATATTATTCACAATAAAGGTTTTTGGGTTAGATCGTGTAAGTATAAACGTGCCGTAACCCTCCACCACCTGATACCCAGTAAGGCTTGTCACGTAAACCAAACGTCTCTCTGTGTGTCTACGTGTGTGTCTCTCTCTGTGTGTCTCGTGTTATCTCTCTCTGTGTGTCTACGTGTGTGTCTCTCTCTGTGTGTCTCTTGTGTTATCTCTCTCTGTGTGTCTATGTGTGTGTCTCTCTGTGTGTCTATGTGTGTCTCTCTCTGTGTGTCTATGTGTGTCTTTCTCTGTGTGTCTATGTGTGTGTCTCTCTCTGTGTGTCTATGTGTGTGTCTCTCTGTGTGTGTCTATGTGTGTGTGTCTTTCTCTGTGTGTCTATGTGTGTCTCTCTCTGTGTGTCTCTTGTGTTATCTATCTGTGTGTGTCTCTCTCTGTGTGTCTATGTGTGTCTTTCTCTGTGTGTCTCTGTGTTATCTCTCTGTGTGTCTATGTGTGTGTCTCTCTCTGTGTGTCTTTGTGTGTCTTTCTCTGTCTCTTGTGTTATCTCTCTCTGTGTGTCTATGTGTGTCTTTCTCTGTGTGTCTCTTGTGTTATCTCTCTGTGTGTCTATGTGTGTGTCTCTCTCTCTGTGTGTCTATGTGTGTCTCTGTGTTATCTCTCTCTATGTGTCTATGTGTGTCTCTTTGTGTCTCTTGTGTTATCTCTCTGTGTGTCTATGTGTGTGTCTCTCTGTGTGTCTATGTGTGTGTCTCTCTGTGTGTCTATGTGTGTGTCTCTCTGTGTGTCTCTTGTGTTATCTCTCTGTGTGTCTATGTGTGTCTTTCTCTGTGTGTCTCTTGTGTTATCTCTGTGTGTCTATGTGTGTGTCTCTCTTTGTGTGTCTCTGTGTTATCTCTCTCTGTGTGTCTATGTGTGTGTCTCTCTTTGTGTGTCTCTGTGTTATCTCTCTCTGTGTGTCTCTTGTGTTATCTCTCTCTGTGTGTCTATGTGTGTGTCTCTCTGTGTGTCTATGTGTGTCTTTCTCTGTGTGTCTCTTGTGTTATCTCGCTGTGTGTCTATGTGTCTCTCTCTGTGTCTATTTTGTGTCTTTCTCTGTGTGTCTCTTGTGTTATCTCTCTGTGTCTATGTGTGTGTCTCTCTCTGTGTGTCTTTGTGTGTCTTTCTCTGTGTGTCTCTTGTGTTATCTCTCTGTGTGTCTATTTTGTGTCTTTCTCTGTGTGTCTCTGTGTTATCTCTCTCTGTGTGTCTATGTGTGTGTCTCTCTTTGTGTGTCTCTGTGTTATCTCTCTGTATGTCTCGTGTTATCTCTCTGTGTGTCTATGTGTGTGTGTCTCTTTGTGTGTCTATGTGTGTGTCTCTCTTTGTGTGTCTCTGTGGTGTGTCTCTGCTTGTGTGTCTGTGTGTCTCCGTGTCTGCTTTATCCCTCTCTCTCAAATTTAGCACTCTTTGGAAGAACGTAATCAACCAGGTAGGGTGTTGACTGTTATGTTAGCCGACTCTCTGTGTTGTATTGCAATATATTTCTAAGTTTACTAGGTTTGTTTTTTCTCAATCATTCGTACCTGATGATGATTGCTTGTGTTGCAATCAAAACGTCTATTATTTAATTAATTTTCTTTCTACGTTACTTTACCAAAAGAACCAAAAAGTAATTAGTTATTAGTATAGTGTGTGGTGTAGTGTATAGTGTAGTATACTGCTTCAGCCCACTGGTGTGTTGGACAGTAAAACATTGTGTGAATTTACTCTCCCACACACCGGTTGACTGAAGTAGTATATAGTACTAGCTTCTTGCCCGTCCAAGGACACGGGTGTATTGCAGTAAACCTGAAACTTGCAAGCGAAAAGCAGACCGCGACGTGATATATTCATTGCATCAATTCGTGTGCAATTTGTAAGGCCGCGGTGACACAGACCTGTTTCATTTGAAGGTTATAATCCCTCGTTCATCATCACGACGTCCTTTTTACTTCGATGTCTCAACAGCGTTACGGAGATCACGTGATGACGTGCGGGTTCTGCCTTTGTAGCGAGGGTTGTGAGTTGACGCCGAGGAGGGGGGAGGAGACGCCTCGCCCTCCCCCCCATGTGGAGTGACGTCAGCCGCTAATTATGAATGGGGGGGGGGGTCCATTTGGAGGACGTCACCTGTTCATCTGTTCATGATTATTAATTAGGGGGCTGTTCGATGTGGAGTGACGCCACCTGCTCATGATTTTCAATTAGGGGGGGTTCTATATGCGGAGTAATGTCACCTGCTAATGATTATTAATGAAGGGGGGGGGGGGTCCATGTGGAGGACGTAACCTGTTCATTATTATTAATGAGGGGGGCTGGTCGACGTGGAGTGACGTCTCGCGCGTCACACACTGACATTCTTGGGTAAATATAGTCGTAAATATACGTTTTTATTTTAAGGTCACGCGCAGTGTTGTTATAGACGACTATGTTTAAGTTTGTTAATGTTAATTATGCTTGTGAACCGCTGCCAACGTACCCAAATGCTTGGTTTACTCTTTATAGAATTAATTACTGAACGACGTCTTTAGAGTGCTTCAGAAAGTCATTTTTAAAGTCCTTAAAACGTCATGAAACCGTTTGCCTTGTGTTGGAGACACATCCCGGGGCGCGTCGTCTTTGGGTGTAGCTTACAAGATAATATAAACCTCGTATTCCCGTAACTTTTATTGCGGTAAAATATAAAAGCAATAACCACGCAGTGGTATGTTCAAATACAGTATTCTCAGAAAGTTCATACACAGTAAAGGTACTCCAGTTATTGTTCACATTGGCGTCTTTAAATGAGTCGTGTTTAAGCTTTTAACCCTGTTTTGCATTTAAATATAGAATGTGAAGGGTCTAATTTGTAATGTAGCGGTGTACGTATACATATGAAATGAGCGACTTCAGCAACATGTCGTGTAGAGCAGCGGTCCCCAACCTTTTTTCAAAGAAGTTCTCCAGCGACGTTTGTTTTTTACTAATTTTGGCGAGGGTTAGCTTGTGGGCTTACCAAAACTGTGACTGAGACAAGTGCGCAGTGCGGGAAGGAGGCAAAAAAGTGGTAAATAATAAAATAATGGGCGGGCCACGCGTGGACTCACCGCTCACCTCCTGCTGTGCGGCCCGGTTCCTAACAGGCCGCGGACCAGTACCGGTCCGCGGCCCGGGGGTTGGGGACTCCTGGTGTAGAGGGTACTTCTTTATTACTCACGGCACAACACAGGCCAACACTTGTTCTTCCTCACACTGAATATAACTCTAGGTATTAACACCTTTACTGGCTACACGCACAGCCAATCACTCGGCGTGGTCCCATTGCCCTCACTTGGCCACGCCGCTGGCTGGCGGCGTGACGATGACCGCGATGGAACCCACACAGGAGACCTTCCACGTGGCCGGACGACGGAGAGAGATGTCGGCGAGCAGCGACGCACCCAGGACCCCACACACGAGCCCCGAGCCCTGGGTCCGCTCCCCCTTATATCCCCCCAGGTGTCGCTAGGCCCCGCCTCCGGCCACGCCATCTCGTGGAATCTTGAAGCAGGTTCCCGGAGTATCTTGGCTAACCCCACCTGTTACCTTTGCCCCAGATTACACCTCCTTCTCCGATTGGTTGGTACTTAACTGTGCCCCTACCCGTGATTCCCTTTCCGGCCAGCAGGTGTCACCCTGTCATTACACATGAACAACGGCCCTTTTTTGTCAATTCACTGCTGTATTAGGGCCTCCACACCCCGCGCGGGGGTTGTTTGACCATACTTCACGCTGGTCAGTGCGGGATTGGAGGCAGGGAGTATAGATGCGGGAGTATAGAAGCAAAGTATTTTACAACAGTGATTTTACTTCTGTACTGCCCCTCTGCTGCATTTCTGCCAGCTGGGTCATGAGCAAGCAATTTGCACCATCTTCACCTGTGGAGTAACACTATGTAATGTATATATATACATACAGTAGTATTGCAATGTTTACATTTGTTAATCCGGGAAAGCTACACTCAGTCTCAAGGTTATTTTTCAAGAGGGTACTGCCAATTTTGCGAAGTAGTTTTTAAGCATTGGAATGTTTGGCCAACACCATTTACGTTGTTTGGGTGCTTTTTTATTGCTGTGGGAGGAAACTCAAGAACCCAGAGGAAAGCCATGCTAAACGGAGAGAACTCCACGCAGAAAGATACCCAGGTCGGGAATTGAACCCATATTCTTCTTGCTTAGATGCAAAAGTGTTTTTCCAACTTTGCCATTATGCCACGATAAAAGTACCCGTTGAAATACTGGTAATAACGCTTGTGCTTTGTTGTGTCACGTTGTTAGACTGTATACCGGCGGGCACAGCCATGATCCAACGGGGACTGCCGGGCGGGCGTGGATGGCCCGGAGCGGATCTGAGTGATGCTTCGTTTTCTGACGAGAGCACAGGTCTCCCCTTCAGGACTACAAGGTGACATCGACGCGTCCAGATGAACTACAACCTCGCCGGGTTGGCGGTGTGAAACTGGGTGTCACTTTTTAACAATACAACAATATTTGGTTTAAGAAAACAGTTCTGTTGAAATTTAATGAAATGCAGAGACACGTGTGTACAGCCCTTCTGTCAATACACGTCTGGATGAGGGTCCCACCAAAACCGTGTGGGTCCATGAGGGTCATTTCACCATATTTCATCACGTCAACAAGTGCAGGTTGGTGAAGGTGAGGAGCATCGGTATTGCATCATAGTACGGGACGATAGGTTTTGGTGCGCCGCTGACAGCCCTGTGTGAGATGTGTATGTCAAGATCATTTAAAGAGGTTTTATTTTCGTTAGGTGAGGGAACCCAGGGTGTGACAGGGTAGAGAAGAAATTAAGTTGATGGTGTGATAAAGGTGCATATGATCAGTTTTTAGAGTGACAGTCCCAGGCAGAGTTAAAGAGGAAGGTTTTTAACCTATACTTAAATCATCAATATCAGCCATAGTCATCCACAGCTGGGTGAAGGACTTGAATAGGGGAAGCGAATTAGGTGTGGTTTGATTTACCAGCACAGGTGATGTTTCCGAGCGGATTGTCAAAATAGAACAAAGGTTGAAGAGTTCACGATGAAGGCTGGTATCACATTGAGATCGATAGAATAACACTTGGATTAGAGAGCAGGTTGGTAGTCATAATTTTGCTAGTTAAGAAATATTCGTGAGGTTTGGGCAGGACGTGTCACCTGAAAGTATCATGGCCAACGGTTAAGACTAATGATGGGAGTGGTAGCCAATGGAGGGAACGTGTCTGAGCATATGCCCACTGTGGAAATGGAGCAATGAAATCGGCTTGTGTGTAGCTGCTAGTGTGGATTGTTACATTGAAGGCCTTAAGCAATGGATAGTCCATGGCTGATGATGATGATGAAATAGGATACTTTTCAGCAGTTAATTAGAAATGTGAAGAAGGCATTGGATAAAGGTCTCAGCAGCAGCAGATGAGGCAATGAAGTTTATTTGGAACACGTCGCTTGTTTGCGGAGGAGCAGGTTGGCGGTGGAGCGAGGTGTGCCGGGACCCAGAGGGAGTGTGGGGAATGGGCTGGGCATGGTGGGGCCCATGTTTACGCCTCAGTGGGTCCCAAGTCCGCTCCCTGGCCATGCCTCACCCACGGCGACTCGCTTCCTCAAGAAAAAGCCTCAGGTGACCCAGCAAGTGCATTTGTACGGCTCAGGTGTCTATGTATAAGAATAGGTTTTACCCTTTTTGGCAATAAAAAAACAGGTGTTAAGATGTTAAAACACCAAACAGAAACCTTTTTGCAAGGAATTGTCTGCATGATCCTTGTGGTGAACATGCAAACAAAAAAACATGCTCTGGTAGTATATGCATTGTCTTTGAAACTGATTGGTCCACACCAGAGACAGCTTTCTTTAGAGCCTAGTCTCAAACAGTGAACACTATATGTGGTTAATGCCGACATGATTCTTTGCAAAAAGGTTTCTGTTTGGTGTTTTAACATCTTAACACCTGTTTTATTGCCAGAAAGGGTAAAACCTATTCTTATATTTTGATAGTGGCAAGGGAGGTTCCATGATGCAGGTGTATATGGTTTGCAGATACTACAGATTCACACTACTATACAATCACATACCTCAAGTGAGCGTTAAACTCGCACCGCTAGAGAGACGCTATGAATTCAGAAGCTTCACACTGCCGTAGAGTGTACAGCTTAACACCACCGCAGATGTTATAGATTGACATCGCTTTAACTTGGACTGGATTCACACCACAATAATAGATGCTACAGATTCACACAGTGACACTCTAAATGCACCTCGTGTGCAAGAAATTATACATTTATGAATTTAATGATGATCCTTAATCAAAGTAATGAATTGTTACATCATCAGCCATGATATATGATCTACCCACTGCTGGCAGAAGTGCCTCCAATTGAAGGAGCTCCAGAGAGCCCATCTCATGGGTATTTGGCCTATTCTTCCATGCTTGCCAAATGCCGTGGAAAGGTGGGAGCACCCAGACTTTACCCCCACCAAATGCGACCTGCCAATCAACTAACTGTGTTGCATATAACTATACTGGGTGAAGAGATGCAGGTTTTGGTTAGTGGAAGTTCGAATTGATCCAGCAACCTCTATATGGCAAGTCCATTGTGCTGACCATTACGTCACGGCAGCCCCCCTTTGCTTCTCATTTCAAAGAAAGGATAAACGTGTTATGTTCATGGCTAGACATTTTTGTATGCGGTTTTCAGCAATGCAAAAAAATCCTATTTTAGCAACTCTAATAGAAACATGCAAACACACCCAAGAAAGGATGCATACTTTAGGGAGGATCCATAAGCTGTCATTCTAACACACGTGCCATCATCGCCCGAGTACTTGGTATAACGTTAAAAAAAATAAACACTCAATTTTTTTAGAAGTAAGCGACATATCGAGTAACAATCCCTTTGCGTCCCTTGGGCTTCAGACGGACGTCCATGTGGGCGCCAGCGTGGCCAGGACGTCCGCGTCGTCGGCAGCGGCGCTGCAGCGCTTGTCTCGGTTTGAGGAGAAGCTGAAGGCGCGGGTGACGGGGCCCACGGCGACGCCGGGCGCGCGACGCCAGCCCTCGGCCTCCCCTTCGCCGGGGGCACCACCCACCGTGGAGCTCGCCGTGAGCATGCCGGGCGACGAACTCAGCGGCAATGGCAGCCGATTCCTGAAAAAGAAGAAGACGACGATGATGATGACATCTACGCCGGCAGAATCATTGGGGAACACAGGTGCCTCAGTGAATATCTCGTCAACTTTCGATCACCTGAGTAATGGGGGTAGAGGGGTGATCCCAAAAAAAACTAAAACGGAGGTATACACAACATATATATGAAAACTAGGTTATACAAATGTACCTATTGGTTACCTACATAGGTAATTAAAGCATTTACATTATAATTTTATTGTGTAAAGGCCCATAGACTTGTACATAAAGACCATTATACTTTTGTAGAAACTTAGAGATTCACATGGACACCCATAGACTTGCATAGAGACTCATAGACTTCGTAGCCCTGACGATGACTGTTTCTCTCTCAAATATAAACATTCCCACTGTTTCTTTCCAGCGCTCTTGAAATGTGGTCGCATTCAAGCACTGTATAAAAATCCAAATTGTACTGTTTTTGTAATTGTATTGCATCGTGTATGCAGAGCCTCCAAGGCCCACGGCGTCGGCTGCCCCTCGCGAGGATGCGTTGTGCAACCGTGACACAGCCCGGACGGGCGGTTCTGGGGCCAGGACTCTGACGCCTGTGGGGGCTGTGGACAGCGACGAGGAGGAGATGCGGCGGCTCCTGGGCAGCTCTTTTGAGAGCCACGACTCTGAGCGGAAGCACGCGCGGAGCCCGCAGACTCCCACCAACCGCAACCGGGTACGAGCACGTAAACTATAAAAAAAGTTACGTAGAAGGGAAACAATTAAATAATAAAAATATAAAACAATAATATTCTCACGACGTTTCGACTGCAACACAAGCAATCATTTTCTTGCTGTGGTTTTCACACCTAATGATGATTGCTTGTGTTGCAGTCGAAACGTCGTGAGAATTTTATCGTTTTATATTTTTATTATTTAATTGTTTCCCTTCTACGTGGTGACTTTACCGAAAGAACCAAGAATATGAATCCCTGCAGTCACGAAAGCTTTAAATAAAAAAATATAAAAAGTAGTTTTTTTTTTCCAGGTAAGGCCAAATGAGCTGTATACCTCTTTTCAGAAGTGACCTGGTCACTAATGATAGCTGAATGAAGTGGCTCATGTAGAAATTATATAGGAGCCAAATACAATACTCTTAACGCATGTTTCTAAATATGGTGGGAAAAACCGGAGGACCCGGAGAAAAATCCACGTGACCCCAGGGAGAACATGCAAACTTCAAATATATACCAGGTGAGGAAGTTAACATCTCACCACCATGGCGTCCCTAGAGGATGGCTCTTCAGATTTTATTTAACATCCTTCATTATTATTCTTGGTTCTTTTGGTAAAGTCACGTAGAAGGGAAACAATAAAATAATAAAAATATAAAACAATAAAATTATCACGTTTCGACTGCAACACAAGCAATCATCATCAGGTGTGAAAACCACAGCAAGAACATTTTAAAAAAGTGGCGTTTTATTTTTGCATTTTACGTGAGAATTTTATTGTTTTATATTTTTATTATTTTATTGTTTCCCTTCTACGTGACTTTACCGAAAGAACCAATAATATGAATCCCTGCAGTCACGAAAGCTTTAAATAAAAATGTATCCTTTATTTTTCTTCTTGGTTCTTTCGGTAAAGTCGCGTAGAAGGGAAATAATAAACTAATAAAAATAAAACATGATTTTATTATGTTTAAATTGTATTGTTTCCCTTCTACGTGACTTTACCGAAAGAACCAAGAAGATGAATCCATGCAGTCACGAAAGCTTTGAATCCTTTATTTTACAAGGAGATTAAATAAACCCATTGAGGCACATTAAACAGTGGGTTACGTCAAGAAGATCGGGATGAGAGAGCTGTAGGCAAGAGATGCAGGTTAGTGAGGTGAAAGAAAGATAAACAATAGAGACGTAAGATGAGCCGTCTGTTTTTACTCTTTTGTAAAGTAATCGGTTTCCGTGCCAACTTATTTTCTGTCGTATGGGCACTGAGTAGCTGATCCCTGATAACTGAGGAACAGCTTATAATCTAACCAGTGCATATGTAAGACTCTTGATTTATATTCGTGCAAGCACGGTTAATCCTCAACCCGGATAATTTGTCCACAGATAAACGACAGTTACTCGTATACATTTTCTAGTCTCGATCTGTGTTAAGTAATTTGTAGTTTTTGTTGCTATTTTTAAGTTTTTAAAGATGCGCGAAGCGGCTTCGATGGAACCGCCTGGCGGTAGTGCCCCTCGCCTCCCACCGTCGCCGCCGGAGATGGGCAGAGCCAAGCGATCCCCGGTCCACGAAGACCGCACCGCGAGATCGCCTAGCGTGATGAGGAGAGGCGCGGTCAAACGATCGCCGTCTCCCGCGTCGATACGGAGTGAGGTGAACTCTGATGACGAGCGATTCTCGGACGCATCGGTGGCCCCGAGTCGACGGGATGACGTTTCATCGGCTTCGGCCTCTGACGGTACGAGGATAGATGGTTAATTAATGGAGGCTGAGGATGGTGTGGTGGCGCAGTGGTTGGCACACTGCGCTGTGAACCTGGCGATCGGAGTTCGATTTCCAGCCATGACAAACACCAGTAGCGAGTGACATCAATCCTGCCTGGGCCACCGCTTCAAAAACTCATCACCATCCAATGTAGGGAAGTATGGTCAAACCATCTCCATGACCGGCATGGCGTGGGGAAGCCTTTACTTAGCAGTGGCTTGTCAAAGGGCTGTTTATTATGATTTGATTTTTATTAGACCCATTGCATATCTAATGGTTATAGGTGAAAGAACACATGGTGGGGGACGATCTGTGGGTTGTTTCCTCTGGACTTGTGATTCTCCCTGTAGGGTCTAAATTATGATATTAATGAATATTTCTGCACGGATATACACCAGTCCTCCTAATTTAAGCACTGGGCTGTCAATTTTAAACACATACGTGATTTCCAAAGCTATTCATGCCACTTAATAAATGTTGCAGAATATATGTTTTTGACGCAATATTTCTTTTGAAAATTGTTATCCTCATAAAACGTTTAATAATTGGCAGCCTACCACTTAAATCGGCATGATTGGTTAGCATGTTGGGTGTTGGGATAAGGATATGATTGGGCTTTGGTTAAGACTGAGGTTAGGGCTTTAGTTAGTGCTAAGGCTATTGCTGGGGATAGGGCGAATGGTTGAGCTAGCACCGGGACTGGGAAAATGTTGGAACTTGGGCTACTATTAATACATGGGTTAGAGGTGATGCTGGAAATGTGGCTGGTATCGTTGCTTGTGTTGGGCACGTGTGACATTTTCCATGTCCTGATTAGATGCCACATCACAAGATGGCCTGGTGGCTCAGGGTTCAGAATGAGACTGGGCCACCACTGCTGATAATCCTGGGTTCAAATCCGAATAGCCACCTGTGATTCAACCAGGTTCTCTAGTGTAGTAAGTTGATGGTTTCAGCTTGCTCACTGTTGACTTGCATCGAGACCCATGTACTCACGTAGACTGAGTTGTGATTAAATTGGGTTGTCAAGTGTAGGGAGTTGGTGATGTCAACCTTGTCACCAGTGACTATCGTTGTGTTTTTAGATTTCAAGATGAACCTGATGACCGTGGACGACCTCCTGCCTGCCCTTCCTGTGAGTGATCCACCGCCAATTAAGCGCGGCCACGAGAGATCCGCGTTTAGCTCCGACGTGCGACAGCCGAAGGCTCACCACCTATCCGACAAGCCATCCGCGGGCACGACAAGAAATCTACGAACGCCCTCTCCACGCACAAGGATGAGCAGCGAGAACAGCAGCATAGAGAAGAGCAGCGAGATCGCTACCATGTCGGAGGTGAGCGACGTGTCCGAACGGCTGGAGGTGGCCTCCATCAGAGATGGCGGCGACCACTCCTCCGCCTCGTCTTTGTCGCACGGCAGAATCCGGAGCCGCGGAGGAAAATCCTCGCGCTCCGTGAGCCCCGTCGACAGTGACAGCGCCGCCTCCAACTACTCGGAGGACTTTGAGGAAGACGACGATTCGCGTGACGCTGGCGCGAGGAGACCGTCCCACTCGCGAGATTCGTCCCCGCGCTCCGAGAGTCCGGCCTCGGGATCGAGCTCACTGCGGCCTAGGGGTAGGAGGGAATCGTCGAGGCTGCGAACGCGTGGACTGACCGATTCGGTGCGAAGAGATGTGAAGAGGCGAGGGAGGAATGCGGCAGTGCAGACTGTGCCTGGCCTTAACTATGCGTGGGTGCAAGGTGAGTGCGGTGTTTCAATGGACAGAAGCGCTATTATGCCAGTGGGAGTGGGGTGTGTGCATTGGTGGTGCACTCCTGTAATCCAGTGCTTTGAAGGAAAGGTTTGGAAGATAGAGATGTGGCAGTAGAGCAAGTAGGTTTGTGCACCTGTGCATGCATGCATGCAGACCTGCAGGTGTTATCTCTTTACAGGTGTAGGGTTTTTTTTCTGTCTTGCGCTACGGTATGAATGCATTGACCTAAGTTTAATTCCTGGCCACAGCTCTCATAAAGTGGTGAGTGATATCTGAACTAGTCCTTTGAATGCCTTCATCAATCCGCACTAACCAGCGTGGTCAAATATGGTTCCAGGATCCCTGTGACCAACGCACCATCTGGAGTCCTTTTTCCAGCGGTGAATTAACAAAGGGTTGTAAATACACGCCACATGTTAATCAAATATTGCGGCACAGTATGAGGTATTATTATACCATGAACGCATATAGAGCCTGACATGTGAAAAGTTGCCCTGTTTTAAAATATTTGAGAAAGTAAAAAAAATAATCTTTTCTCATTCCACTGCTGAATGAAGGCTTCCCCATGCCATGTAAGTCGTGGAAGTTTTTTTTTATCCATACGTCACCATGCAGATCAGTGCAGGATGATCAAGGAGGGAGCTATAAGGACCGGTTCCGATTTCACTTTGCCACTGATGTTAGCCATAGCCGGGAATTGAACTGGGGACACTGGGTTCATTGCGCAGTGTGCTAACCGCTGTGCCAGCGTTCCACCTTGGCATTATTACTATTATTCTACTGTAATTAAATACGTGTATGACTTAACACGTAAAATTATTCCCTGTTTAAATTGCTCAGAACCAATTGCTGTAAAGCTGTTTTGTATTTTTGTTTTTCCTGAGCATGCTGAGCGTGCTTTTTGTTCAATGTATCCTATTCCTGGTTGCGCTTCACTGCACTGGCAAATCATTTGATGGACCTTGTGGTTCACAGATGCTGCGCTGACAGCAGAGCACGCTGGGAAATACGCGGCCCCAATGCCCATCGCCTCTCACTTCATCAGCGGGGAAACGCTGGAAGGTATGGTGAAGTACAATCAGAGCACATGGTAAAACCTCTCAAAGCCGGACTCCTATAAGGTGGAATTTGGGGTAAGCCAGAATTTTGGGTAAGCCAGGAAGGCTATCTGAAAATAAAGCAAAAATACATTAGATAAAGTTTTGCTGGCTGGCTAGCTGATGTGCGGGCAGGCAAATGTGCAGTGGTGACGTCTCTGTGCACATCTGCGTGCTCCCGTCACCCACATCCCACAGTGTTGAACCGAATTTGTGTGTCATGCTGACGTTACACCTCCCCTCCCCCCCCCCCCCCGCATAGTGAAGTCTTCAACAAGTATTCCCTCAATCTCTCTGGCCCGTCTGTCTCTCCCTGCTGTGAAGAAGGGGGAATACATTCTGAGAAAAGGCCGTGCAGAGCAAATCCGCAGTCACGAACAGCCGTTCTGTGAGGGTATCAACTTTCAGCAATATCCCAGAGCTTTGCCTCAGGGCCCCCTCTTATCCTCCCGGCGTGGCCTTGATCCGCCTTCACCACGACCCCCTTCTGGAACCTACCATGAACTTTGCTTAGATATTTTATCCTCCGTATATACTGTCGTCTCTTGATGTGTGTACTGCCATATCTTGTAGTTACACTTTGTAGACAGCAGCCAGCGCTATTGCACTACACTAGTACAGCACTAACCGGTGTGTTGGAGAGCCAAGCCACAACATTTACAATCTGAGTACGACGTTTCGCCAGTAATTACAACTAGCTTCATCAGGCGACAGCCAGACTTGTGGAGAAATCCTGTTTCGTTCCTTAAATAGAGGGATAGATGTGATGTCACTTGTGAGCCCTTCACGTGCGACGTGGGGGGGATTAATGAATGAATATCAATTGCAATGGATATCCATTGCCGGTTGGGCACATACGAATGCACATACTTAACTCAAACAAGGAATACAATTTATATGATTACGCAACATAAAACTTTACACGAGTACTGCACTTGCCCATACAGGCTGGTAGTTAGAAACGCGAGTTCCAAGTTCCTCGCAGGAGCAGACGGGGTAACGATGCGACTTGCTCCCGTACCCAACAGTGGACCGCGGAGGGCTGCGTCGCTTCTCCTGTGCATCGAAAGCATTTCGGTTTATCTTTCGCGTGGAAATATTGTTCAGGCAGACTGTTTCTTAATCAAAACGTTTCCGAGATTAAGGAGGGAGAAGCGAGGTTAGCCCTCTGCGGTCCATTGTTGAGTAGGTGGGGGGGGGGGGTGCACGTGGTATTGTTTTTCCCGAACTCTACGGCTCCCTGTCCACGGCCAATTAGCAAGCGGGCTGCAGCGGACACACTTGGAGAGGCGCATGAGTCACGTGCGGAGCCTTGAGACAGCCCAGTGCGTGCACCACGCCATCTTCGCACTGCCCGCTCAATCATTGCAGCTGTGAGAACTGCACCTCGTGCTTTCCGAAATTTTGGTGGTAGAAAAAAAAATTGCTTGCAGCTGCGAATTTGTGCAGAGCGAGTGTCGGCTGTATACGCACTTTTTATTTTCCATTTAGGGCAGTATTGTGAGTGCGAGTGTTTTTTTGGTTTCTGTTTTTTTTTGGGCAAGATTGACAACAAAAAGATATATATATATATTTTAAGTATGTAATGTTATTCCACAAACCAGAACGATTGGCGCTCATGCGCGTTGGGCATAGGCACGTCCGCCCCTCTTTTGTAACTTATTTATACGGTCGAAATCTCAAGCATATCAAAGGCTTCTTTACTGGACGGGCTTTGGTGGCTTTGTTAGACCCTTTCAGCTGCGTACATGTTGTGTATTTTACTTTGTTGATTGCTCCTGTGGTCCTGCACACTCTGTGTTCTCATGTTGAGGTCTAGGGTTCACTTTCATCTTCTGAAATAGTGAGTACCATCTGTTTCCTCGTGCTGTGGTTACACATTTGCTTATGCCCTATTCACCGTTGAGATTACTGTATGCAGATTCTTTACATTGAGATTGACCAAAAGAATAGCTTCTGATGAGTGGCACAAATTGTGCAGGATGGGTGAGCAACTTGGGAGGTTGGAAATACAACCTAGAAGGAAAGTAGTATGAATGTACGTATTTAGGAATGCGTATCTGTGTGTGTGTGTGGGAAGTGGTGGCGTATGGTTGGCGCACTGCACGACAAACCCAGAGGCCCGAGTTCGATTCCGGCTCACGGCCAAGACCACTGACGAATATCTGAACCGGTCCCGTGCCTCCCCGAGGTCGACTCAGCCTCAAATGAGTACCTGGTGTGATGTGTAAACATGACCACTGGGGAGACAAAGGCGGTCGGGCGTGGTCCTGGCCATCCACCCCCTCGTCTACCATCCCGGCCTTCATAGGTGCCTCTTGCTAAGAGCACTTGCCCCAACATTCTGTTAAGGCTATACGGGGGATCTTTGTCTTCGTCGTGTGCACGGAACGGCGGAGAACAGTCGTCTTGTGGTTATCACGCTGTGCTATGGACCTGGTGATCCTAATTGGATTACCACTCATGGGCCAACACCATTGACGATTATCTGAACCAGTCCTGGGCCTCCCCTAGGTCTACTCAGCCTCAAGAGTGTAAATATCGCCACTAGGAAGACAAAGGTAGCTCAGCATGGTTCTGGCCACCCACCCCCTTTGTGTCCCGTGCCGGCCTTCATAGGTGCTACTCTGTCAGCACTTGCCCCAACAGTCTGTTAAGGCTATACGGGGGGGGGGGATCTTTATGTGCAATCGCAGCCCTCACCACGTACCGCCCCTCCACGCTGGCGCTAGAGGAGCTGCTGCGGGGACAGCTGGAGCTGACGCGCGAGTTCGTGTCGCGGTGCCAAGGCCTGCATGCCAGCCTGGTGGAGGCGCTAGCCCAGGAGCGATACCCCTACACCACGCTCGCCGAGACGCGACAGGCACGCACGTCCATAGCACTGAAAGTCACATGGCATCCGAGACCTCAACATTCGTTCATTTGTTCACACGTTTTTTTCAGTAATGAAGTTACTTATTCATTCGTTAGTCTTAATTTACATGCTCATTCACATTCTGTCACTCATACATATATTTATTCACTCGTTGCATTGCATTGTTCACACATTCATACAGAAATCCATGCATTCACTCATTAACATTCATTAATTCACTTGTCGCAGAGTACACCAAGTCAAAGTGAATTCCTAATCAAATGAGCATTGAGACTGTGCTCATCTCCTGTTTTATCTCCTATATATTATTATTCCAGCCCCGCAGAGCCAGTGGTGAAAATTCTGCATTGCTATGATGGGGACGATTTTATCCAACCGCCGTTAATTTCCCCATAAAGTGGTACTCATCTTGGCGATCTTGAAGGGACGATGGGGTTGAGTCAACCCCTAACCATGGTTTTAACTCACAATCTTGTGATTGTGAGCCACTTGCTGTACCGTTGAGCCACTGATTCAGGCTAAACATTGGTTTGAGTGCCAAGGACAATTAGCACGGTTGGCTACGGATGGCGCGAAATAAGTTCAACATACATTAATTGCCACGTGTAAGAATGTGTTAACTTTACAAAGCTATGCACAGACTTACCCCCATCAAAGGAATCTCCACCACTGGCTCTGCGGGGCTCTAAACAGGAGGTGCGCATTGCCTCAATGATCATTCAGGCATGAAAACCAGTTTAGCCTGATGTACTATGAGAAAGTGAATTAATTTAAAGTGCGAAATTAGTTAATGTGAGTACATGCATGAATGTATGTATAAATAAAATGAATGTGAATGAATTAATAAGTCGGTGTGCCTAAAGGAATGAGTAAATGATCAAAAGGGCTGTGCTACTAGTACAAAGACGACTGACTACGACACGATCTTATCTCCTCCTCCCCCTCCCACCCCTCTGGCTGACATTGCAGTTTCTGGAGCGGAACCGCCGGCCGAAGTTGACGATGGAGGAGGCGCAGGAGCAGGTGTTGCGGGAGATGCGGGAGTACCATTACTTGTGAAGAGCTTTTTGGAAAGGGGGGGCGATGGGGAGCAGAATCCCGACCCAACCATTTTGCAGGTGCTGGGTGCTAATGCTCACCCACCCCCACCTATGTATGTACGTTGAACTTCTTTCACACCGTACGTATCCAAACGTGCTAATCGGAGGTGCAGGAGGACAATCTAAACAAAAAGGCAGTTCGAAAGAAATTAGTTTTCAATCTTGATTTAAAAGTGCATAGTTCCAGTGGCTTGCTAATATCAGAAAAGCCCTCCAGACGGCCGCAGAAGTGCATCTGAAAGTGCGCGGTGCAGTGACCGTCTTTGTTCAACGGTGAGCCAAAAGCCGCTGCGAGATTGACTGGAGTCCACATGATGGTTTATATACTCTTTGACGAGAACAGCAAAGTATTGTGGTTCAAACTTAGACCGGGTAGGTGAACAAGAGACTTTAACCCCCCACCACTAAAAATTACTGTGGACAGGCTTACAGTTGGCTACAATTTAACCGTAAATAGTATTACCAAATAATTTTTACTATTCAGGTAAAATATAGTTACTATTTGACCCGTGGACCATGGCCACATCTGCGGTATTACAAACATGCTGCCTGCTTGCACATAATTGATTTTATGCTTTTATTACCATAAAGCAACTGTGAAGTTAAAACTCTGTAGGCCCCATCCCTTTCTTTATGGCTCCATTGGCTCTTCATCCTCTTTTGGGCACCGTTGCCTTTCCTTTTTAGGAACCATGCCCCTCCTTGTTTAGGCCCTGCCTATTCCTCCCGAAACACAGGTGGGGCTTGTTTGGGTAATGGTGGGTGGTTGGGGAAGGTGGGGAATGAGCGTTTGCAGCAGTGGTAGTCGTGGGTGGGGATAGTAGTTAGGGGTGGGACAGCTGAAGGACGCTGACCATAATTTTTAGTGCAATGATATATTGCAAAGGTAATTCAATATAGATTACGTCCAATGCATTTGCCGATGATCAAATCACCCAGAATGTGCCCGATCTCATCAGACCTGGGAAGCTAAGTTGGGTTGAGCCTGGACAGTGCTTCGATGGGCAACCACCATGCGTAACAGGGCTGCTGGGCAGCTACATTGTCAGCAGAGGGCAATGTACTATGCTGTAATGTATATTCTCTCTGCTTTCATTAGCGTGAACTAGGGACAAATAGTCCACATGACTGATACAGTGTGGCAAGGCCTTCATCCAGCAGTGGATTGACAGAGGGGCTATAATTTAATGTTACATATTGCATTGCAGGATACATTCATTTATGCAGTGTCAAACTATTATTTTAAAAGGAATATAGCACTATAGGTTTTTCTAACATTTAAGGTGAACTGCAATGTGTTTGTGTGTAAAAGTGTGGTATATAATAAAAACGTTCCAAACTGTTTTCTTAAATATTATTTATTTCTTTATGGCAATACACATACAAAGGAATGAAAATCCATAACCCGGGAATTATTCAGGTCATTGAAGCATTTTAACCATTAAAGCATCAAATACAGCTATACATATAAAGCAACAATCCACTACAAAATTTTAAAAATACGTTGTTACTCAAGCACGTATAAATAAAAATGCATAAGCAAAACTACCACCCAAGTTCTAGCGCTGCAGTACGAGTTATTATTCGGCAGAAAGAAAAATAAAAACTTTAGCTGTCCAATACTCTGTCGGGATGTTCTGTGCGTTGCTAACCATGACGTCCGATGTTCCTCTCCCATGTGCTGCTACCTATTTCAGGAAGCGAACTGAAAGGTGAAAGCACATGGAGCAAAACGTCGGATATTACGCTGAACGGCACACGGTGCAACCCGAAAACACACCCTAGTGCTATGGAGCACAATTGAGAACCTACGTGCAGTGGTGCAACTCAAATCTTTACTTAACGAGGTCAGGCCCACTGAGCTATGTGGCTCTTTTTTTCAGAAGCGACCTTGCCACAAATGATAGCTCAACGAAGTGACTTGTGGAAATTTATAGCAGCCAAATACTCTAAACGTATGATTCTAATGAGGGAAAAACCGGAGGACCCAGAGAAAAAGACACTTTTCCACGGGGAGAACATGCAAACTCCAAATATACAGGCGTCGGGATCGAACCCCACGACCTCCTGTATACGAGGCGAGATTGTTAACATGTCGCCACTGTTGCGAGATGCGAACTCATCATTTTCATTTTAGAATAAGAGCTCGCAAGCTTGAAATTGTCTTGCCAAAACGCATAAAACAATGTCAGAAGTGATGGGCGATTCGGCCTTCCATCCACCATTCCATCCCTTCTTCAAGCCACGCACACCACCCATGATGGCTCATGGCACGCAGTGCTGCGTCCGCTTGTGCTGCGTGACGGCGTAGGGGAACATGAATGCCTTTCCGCAGATGTCGCACAGGAAGGGCTTCTGGCCGCTGTGCATTCGGCGGTGGTTGAGCAGGTGGTCTGAGCGGGTGAAGCGCTTTCCACACTCCTCACAGCCGTACGGCTTCTCGCCCGTGTGCGTACGGAAGTGTACGCGCAGCTTCTGCTTGGAGCGGAACGCCCGGCCGCAGGCGTGGCACGCGAAGGGCCTCTCCGCAGACTCGTCATAAGTCCACTGCGGTTGCGGGAAGCCGGCCTTCGTGGCTACCTCACTCAGATATGCCGGCAGGGCGAATGGTGGGAGCCCGTTGCTCAGCGGGTCCGCGTGCCCGCCACTGCTACGGCCCTTCCCTCGCCCGCCGGGCCCGCCCTTGCTGGAACCGGCGCTAGCCGACGCTCTCCGTCTGCTACGGAATCGCTCTGTAGAGTCAAGGGTGCCCAGGTCATCACTTGGCTTGCGACCAAGTCCGTAGCCCCTGCTCGACTTTTCGCCGGCAGTGGTCACGCCTCCCCTTGGCCGGTCGTCATCGTCGTCGTCGTCATCGTCGTCGTAGTTGTCGCTCTGTGTGATGCCGTACGCGTCGATCGCGCCGTACGAGTTGATGTCCCCATACTTGTTCACCTCCTCGTAGCAGCTGGCTTTTTCATCGTCTAGGGGGAGGTCACACTGGTGCTGCTGCTGCTGCTGCGGAAGCAGAGGTGGCTGAGGAGGTGGATGATGATGCGAGTTGTCCTCGTCGTTGGCAGTCGTCGCATCCTGGGAGCGTCTCGACGTCAAGGCGTCATCGCCTTTTTCACTCAGAACCCAGGACTTGTCGCAGGGCTTATCTGTGGGGAACAGGGGATTTGATTCAAGCAGGACCGTGTCTTGCATGTGTCTCGTTCGTGTCATCTCATTAACCGTCTATTCGGTGTATCACAATTCACCTACCCACAAACTCCTGCGAATTTAGGATTTTGAGACGTATCCTGGAAAAAACTTGATAACCCAAACAGGTCAGCTGTCCACAAAGCAGGCTTTTGCTGAGAGTTGGCAGATTTAGTGGATGAAAAATGTGAATTATTCAGTTCATATTGCGTGGTCAACTCTTGGGAAGTGATGCAATACAAAACTATCAAAAGTGCATTGTAAAGTGTTCCAATGAAGCCAGCATGGGCTATCGTAAACAAAAAATATATGCTTAAATGTGTATGTCCTTACCTTCCATTCCCATCTCTACTTTAACTTCGTTTGTATCCTCTTCCTTGTGGCTTTGCTGTTCCTGCGACTCTTCATCTGAAGCCTCCACCCACTGCACATCCTTGTAACCTGCAGAGAAGAACCGGTCCACGAGGGGGGGGGGGGGGTGGGCAATGATTCGCGTGTGGGTGGAAACTCTTATTCCACCTTCAAATTTTCTCAAGTACCCATGACTCGAGTCATTTTCCACCCGATGATTTTTGATCGTCAGATCTCATAAGCTAAGCATGATTTTTGTGCCTGGATATTTCTTGGGATGGGCGGCCACCACGCACGGCAGGTAACCATAGAGCATCTGGGGGGCTTCGCTGTGTTGTGTGCAGCAAGATATTTTGTTGTACTCTGCTAGGGTGCCCCTACGTCTCTGCTCTAAAATATTCACCAACCCACACTGACCAGAGCGGTGGAGTACGGACAGTTAACCCTCGCAACGCACACGTTGTGGGCAGGCCCGTCTTTCAGCAGTGGATTAACAATGCCTGTAAATGTTTGTGTTGCATTAAGACAATGTTGCTAAGCCAACTTCCTGTTATGGAGGAAATCTGCCAATTTCTTTGTAATGAACAATGGGGAAAACTGTCAATTCGATGTGTGTCGGCCATTTCATCAGCATGAGAAATTGCGCTTTAAGCTGTAAACTGCACAGGTACACAGATCCAAACATCGCAATATAGGACCACGAAAGCTTGGGCAAATATTGGTGCCGGTTCTGGCCGGCTTCCCGCTTGTCTATAGTATCCCATGTATCCACAAGAAAACTGCGCATTCCAAATTCTACAGCATTTTTAGATGCAATCTGCATTAATGACGCTAAATATACAAAATGGACCTTTCGCAAAGTCACCTGTGTATTTACCTTCGTTTTCCATCTTTAATTCTTTCCAAACTCCATCGCCGGTCTGGACGAAGATTGGAGGGCTGTCCCTCGGCATTTGTGGTGAATTGCTTTGAGAAAAAGCTGGTTAAAAGAACAGAACCATAGTTATACAGACAACCCAAGAGGGAAGCCATGTTTACAAACCGGTAACGGCCTTGGGAAAAAAAACGCAACAAAAGTTAAGTTGAACTTGCAGAGTGGCTTGGAGGTCAAAGTGCAGAGTCGGGAGCGTTGAGATCCTGTGCTCAATTCTGGGCAGCAATCTCACTAGTCCGGGGTTCCCAAGTCTAGTGGGGTCATGGTCTCACCAATGGTTGCACAAATCTTTGGTTCTTGCACAAATCTTTGGTTCTGCACTTAATTAGGCTAATTCTAGCTCTGAGAATCAATATTGGGTTTGATTCTCATGCAATTGTAGCGGCATCGTTGAGTGCTGTACGCGATTGCCACTACTTGTAGCCTGTAATAACGGCCTCGAGTCAACAGGGAGCAGGAGGGAGTCTAAGGGTGAGGAGTCAGGCCGTTGGGCCAAGGTAACCCTAAGGCAGCTCGGGACCACAGGTACAGACTCCCAGGAAGGGGGCTGGGGGATAATGTCACTCCCCAGGCCCTTTCAGACAGTTCCAGAAGGGAGGAGTGGCTAGGGGCGGAGTGAGCCAGAATCCAGTATAAAAGAAGGTCCCCTGAACAGAACCGGCAGTCGTCGTCAAGCCGAAGACCCAAAGACCAGCCAGAATAGGACCCTAGGAACCCCCGGACCCGAAATTCTTGTCAGGGCAGGGACCGAGTGGGCCAGTGGTCGGGACCCGAGGACCTTGGCTGGGTCGGGTTAGGCTAGCCTCCCCTAGGTCCCCCTTGCCGGAGGGCTGATATATAGAGAGTGGTCCCAGTGATTAGGACACGCTAGCCCGGAGGCTATACCTCCCCAGGGTATCAGGTGGAAGGGGCCGATACCCCTTTGTGTCAGGGACCTTGTGTTACTGTTATAAATAAACGTGTTATCTCCAGAGAAGACTTGGTTCCCATCCTTACCCACTACACAATTAACATTATTCTCTGCAGCAGAGTGGGTGGGGAAGTGTTGTCTCCTACTTTTTGGACCAGAGGTCAATTTAAAGGATCTCGCGTAGCTCTGTGATATCCGCTTCTCTGGACAGTTTCTGACATGAAGGGTTGCACTTCTCTGCAAGAGATTCAAATGAATTCTTTATCTTGCGATGTCGATAAAACAATTGGAATAAAATTGGGGGAAAAGACAAATAGTGTATAAAATGACAAGTTGACAAAGGTAAACTTATTAAAGACTGGTAGATAAATACAGCATCTTGTTTTATCTTCATTGAAAAGTAATGGTTAAAGTTATACACCTATTGCGAACATAACCAGCATAATCGTGATTGGTCGTTGCGTTTGGATCTATCGATGGCAGAGCACCCTCCACCCGCTCTCCCTCAGTGGAACGATGAATTGCCATGATACGGTGTCATAATTCAATTTCAACAAAGGATTATTTTATCTTGTTTGTAGTTTTTCTTTCCTGAATGCAAAGTTTAAGCTGGTGGCTTAAATGTAAAATTAGCAAGATTTGCCTATGATTTTCACTATTTTATAAATACAGAAGCTGGTAGACACGCACCCCCATTGGAAGTAAGGTACGGGTGTCAATAACCACAAAAAAATGAAAATTTTAGACCAATTAGACTGAATCCTCATTGCTTCTTGCCGGATGGTCAACGAAATCGGCACCACCGCAATTATTTGCCCCGCACACCTTCCAAGGGTTGGTCCTCTTGCGCTACATCGTCCATGGCCGCGTCGTCCTCGGAGGCCGGCGTACGGGCGTCCAGCGCGTTCAGCTTGTCGGCCGAACGGAGGAACTCGCGGCTGAGGCTGCTCAGCGTGCTCACCAGCACCTCCAGTAGCGAGCCGAGGCCGGGGCACGACCGGCCCGATGCGGCAGCGGCGCCACAGTCGCCGGCGCGCTCCGCCGGGAACGCTGCCACCACACGGCGCAGCACGGCGTAGAAGCCGAAGGGCAGGCGCTCGCGGGCGACGCAGAAGAGCTCCGAGCGAACCTGCAGGTCCTCGGCGCAGGCGAGCAGCACCTCGTAGTCCCGGATGCCCAGCTCGGTGTCCATGGCGAGCGCGATCTCCGTGTTCACGCCCATCTTGCCCAGCCAGCCCGAGAAGTCGGCGTGCTGGTCCACCTCGCACGCCATCTGCGAGCGGTAGCGGCTGAATGGTACATGATGGATCGTCGTGCAAAAACTTTTGCTTACAAGGACGTTGCCTGACCAATGCCCCGAGCGGAAGCTTGCCAGAACTCTTAGCTTGCCAAGTTGCGGAAAATGTTATCGTATGGGGTAATTGTCTAAAACATTAGCTTACCTTGTTGTTGCCCAGGAAGCTAGCTTGTCGAATAATAGCCAGACATTTTTATATTGTCTAGCTGTTCCCCAGAATATTAGCTTGCCAGGTTATTGCTTGAAATGTTTGCTTCCCCAGCCCTTGCCCAGAGTATGAGCTCCACTGGCCATTGCCCATAATGCTAATAAGCAAGGACATTGCCTGAAATGTTAGCATTGCCAAAACTGTCTGAAACATTAGCTTGCCTGGCTTTTGTCCAAAATGTCAGCGTGTTGGGAATTTTTTTCATTTCTGTCGAGGCGGTGTTTTGTTAAGGTATAAAGTTACTGCTTTAGTTAACTTATTAACACTACGATGAATATCAGGTAGTAATAACAGCAAACTATTTCCTGAAGAGGGCCAGTGGACAGAAATGTCATGATCTTTATTTCCTGCTGATGACAAAAAAAAAAACATTTTTCATATGGACTTGCAAATTGATGTATTGTTCATGACGGTTACATCAGGGTAAAAAGTGTCTTTGCTCATGGGATAATGGGGCTGTGCTCATCTTGTTGGCAGCCCTAAACCAGCAGTGGGAATTTCACATGGTATGGCAGTGGTGGAGGCAGGTGCAATCAGAAGACACCCCAGAGTTTAATAACCACAAATTGGTGCGAATAATCCATTATTGTGACATGTCCTGCCCAAGCCCATTTTGTGTTGTCAATATATCTCTAACTTGTGCGAGACGAACAACTTAGCGGCAGCCAAAGTGGGGAAACATGCCCAAGAGGGCCTCAACTGGAATACAGCAATGAAATCAACTGACGTGTGGGAGCTAGTTGGATATGTTATGGTGCAGGCCTGTGAAAATGGTGGTAGCTTGGGAAGACCTTCATCCAGCCATAGACTGCTCATGACTGATGATGGTACTAATGTTATCAGTGGTTAAGTATTTTGTATCTGAAAAAAAACGTTCAGGGACTGTACTGGCAGAGCTGCACAAGCATAAACAAACTCGCCGCATTCATTCCTTGATCTCCAGGTCTTATTCTCTTCCCACATATCTCTGCAGGACTTAATACCTGCATCCGCGCGACACTTCTCACAACCGCCATTTATTTTTCTCCAGCTGTTGCTGAGACCCTCATCCATGCCTACATCACATTCTGACTCGAATACTGCAACGCTTCTCTACAGCCACCCCCAAATTCTTCACCTCCAAACTCCAGATGATCCAAAATGATGCTGCCAGACGCTGCCTCACCCATTGATGAGATCACATCACCGCAAAAATGACACCTCAACTGGCTGACATTTCAAGATCACCCTCAGTCATCAAGACCCTACACGGACCCATCCCAGCCAACCCTCTCCCTGCTCGTATCACTCACCTGCACGCTCTCTCCTACCACTCCCCTCTCATCACACGATAATCCCTTTAAGAGCACCCTCCGCTCCAGCAACCAAGTTTTACCTCTCTAAACCTCCAGTTAATATTGGCTTGACTGGGGACGTCGTCAGAAATCGCTCATTCTTCTGCTTCGCCCATAGACTCTTCCTTCCCTCTTGCCAAACACGCTCCCTGCACCTATACATGTCCTACGACCGGCTGGCTATGCATTTAATACACATACCCACTGTCTCCATACAACGAATTGTGTTGTATTAACACTGCTTTATAACCAAACATATATAAGCCCATGTATCAGGCAATAGCCCTTCAGATCACATAGCAAGGGCAGCGATATTTTTTTATAATGTTGTGCTTTAACTTGGTGCCTTTCTGGGTGGAGTTTGTATGTTTCTCTCCCTGTGCTGCATGATATTTCTCCGGGTTCTTTGGTTTCCTCCGATATCTAAAAACAAACGCAATCCAACTGGTATTGGGCCAAACATCCCAATGCTGAAAAAATATCTGGAAACTACTAAATTCGGATTACACGCAATATTGTCCTACTGCAAAATCTTAGCAAGACCCTTCTGAATGACGAGTCTTAGGACTCATGAGGCCTTCTGGGATAAATAAGCCTAATAATAAAATAATCATTTGAAAAAAAACCCCTCTTCATTTGTTCCAAATTCCACAGGCCTGGCACTTAGTCTGGCCTCCACCGTGCATGTTGGTGCAAAGGAAAGAGTATTTGCTGGGTTAGGGGCACAGGCTAGGGTGCCGTTAACACAACGCATACTTTCGGTGTTCGACTAAGTAAGCTGTAATTGGATGACATTGGGGATTACAGATGGATGTGCTTAATAATATCAAGCAATCATTGCACAGCGTGTGGCCCAATGGGCAAACTGATTCCAGGATTATAATTATCAATGTTTTACAGCCATTCTTTAACATCTTCATCTCAGGGTACTCCGGTTTGCTCCCACATGAAGACAGAAAACTCAATGTTAGGAATGGCTAAAAACATCTAAATGCATCTGCTAAACATCCATGAAAATGTCTTGAACTCAAACAGTACACAAACCGTGCATTCGCACATGCAGACCATGCACAAAGATGCACTCGCAGAGATGCGCATAAGACACATGCACATATCTTCACAGACTCGCAGACTGATGCACACATGCAAAGAGACGCACACAAATGGGTCGATACACAAATATCCACACAAAACACTGACCCAAAATACAATCGCATACATACAACAAAGAGAGCCAGCGGTACACAAACACACAACAGAGAGCCAGACACATTACACAAACACTCTTACAATTCAGACACAGGTACTTACACAAACATGCCAACATAAATAAACACGCAACACAGAAACCCAGACACACTATATAAGGCATCTTTATCCCTTGCACAGCCTCCGATACAGACTATTGGGGCAAGTGCTGTTAGCGAGCACCTATTAATTCCAGAACGTCGCACAGTCGGGGAGGGTGTAGCCAGCACCAAGCTCGGCCGTCTTTATCTTCCCAGTGTGGATTCTTCCACACCACCAGATACTCATTTAAAGCTGAATTCGACCTAGTCGAGGCCCAGGACCGGTTCAGATAACATTCGCCAGAATGGAACACGAGCGAACAGTGTAACTGCGCACACAAGAGACTCGGGCAGCATAAATTAAAGTAATTGTCCACAGCATGTTCTCATTGCTGGGCTGAGATCAGACCTCAAAAATAAATACGCAATTATTATTATATTACGTACGGTGGCAATATGGTAAGGAGCTCATATTGCCAATGCTTAGATGTCTGTTAGCCACGACGAGAGAGGGCTTCAGGGCAGGGTTTGTGTAGTCTTGCTCCTCCGTTGAAGGAGCGATGACCACGCAGTGGTTTACTATATGGACGGTCCCATAGCTTGGGTTGCACGGCCGGATCTCCGATGAGCACGGTTGGCCACGTACGGTGCCGAAAGAAGTTCAACATACCTATGAGTTCATACAATCTCGGCTCCTTTTTAACCGTAATTTTCCCATCGGCCTGTTGACGTTCTGACGCGGTTGGTGGCTGCAAGCGGGGATCTTCGAGGAAGAATGTCAAAGCCAGGAGGTGCGATGTTTGGGTCTCGAATGAGGTGTTTATTCTGGAGGTCCCGCGCAGTTTCCACACTGTTAGCCAGCGTTCAACTATAGAGAAAAAGGGAAACTTAACGGACTGCAATTGGCCCCAATCCCTCGGCCGGTGACCCTTAAAGTCTGGCCCACACTGTGCATCACATTAATCCCAGCCCGCAGTATCAGCAGAGGCGGCGATTAGCCAGACACATCCCGGCTTCATTGATCAAAAGATTTGACTATCGTGAGTAAAATAAATAACAAAAAAAATCATAATTATAATGGGTCCTTAATAATAATTGAGGGCACATTGAAATTGGAAGGGTTAGACAGCGAGGTAATTTAAAACCATAAAACACTGTGTACATGGTGAGGAAGAGCCGTAAGTGACGATGCTAAACAGCTTCAATTCATTCATAACAATAAACAACAACCCTCTTGTCGATCCATTGTCAGATGAAGGCCTCCTTCCCACGGCGTGTCTGTCATGGGGGTCGGTTTGACCATACTTCACCCACGTTGGTAATTGTGGGATGGGTGAAGGGCAGGGAAAGGGTTTATTAGAGCAGCCAGTGGCTAAGGGGAGCCAGTGGCTAAGGGGAGTGAGTGGCTGAGGGGAGCGAGTGGCTAAGGGGAGCGAGTGGCTAAGGGCAGCGAGTGGCTAAGGGGAGCGAGTGGCTGAGGGGAGCGAGTGGCTAAGGGGAGCGAGTGGCTAAGGGGAGTGAGTGGCTGAGGGGAGCGAGTGGCTAAGGGGAGTGAGTGGCTGAGGGGAGCGAGTGGCTAAGGGGAGCGAGTGGCTAAGGGCAGCGAGTGGCTAAGGGGAGCGAGTGGCTGAGGGGAGTGAGTGGCTGAGGGGAGCGAGTGGCTAAGGGCAGCCAGTGGCTAAGGGGAGCGAGTGGCTAAGGGGAGTGAGTGGATAAGGGCAGCGAGTGGCTAAGGGCAGCGAGTGGCTAAGGGGAGCGAGTGGCTAAGGGCAGCCAGTGGCTAAGGGGAGCGAGTGGCTAAGGGGAGTGAGTGGCTGAGGGGAGCGAGTGGCTAAGGGGAGCGAGTGGCTAAGGGCAGCGAGTGGCTAAGGGGAGCGAGTGGCTGAGGGGAGTGAGTGGCTGAGGGGAGCGAGTGGCTAAGGGGAGCGAGTGGCTAAGGGGAGCGAGTGGCTAAGGGCAGCGAGTGGCTATGGGGAGCGAGTGGCTAAGGGCAGCGAGTGGCTGAGGGCAGCGAGTGGCTGAGGGCAGCGAGTGGCTAAGGGGAGTGAGTGGCTGAGGGGAGCGAGTGGCTAAGGGGAGCGAGTGGCTAAGGGGAGTGAGTGGCTAAGGGGAGCGAGTGGCTAAGGGCAGCGAGTGGCTGAGGGCAGCGAGTGGCTAAGGGGAGCGAGTGGCTAAGGGGAGCGAGTGGCTGAGGGCAGCCAGTGGCTAAGGGGAGCGAGTGGCTAAGGGCAGCGAGTGGCTAAGAGGAGCGAGTGGCTAAGGGCAGCGAGTGGCTAAGGTGAGCGAGAGGCTGAGGGCAGCGAGTGGCTGAGGGCAGCGAGTGGCTAAGGGGAGCGAGTGGCTAAGGGCAGCGAGTGGCTAAGGGGAGCGAGTGGCTAAGAGGAGCGAGTGGCTAAGGGGAGCGAGTGGCTGAGGGCAGCGAGTGGCTGAGGGCAGCGAGTGGCGAGGGCAGCGAGTGGCTAAGGGCAGCGAGTGGCTGAGGGCAGCGAGTGGCTGAGGGCAGCGAGTGGCTGAGGGCAGCGAGTGGCTAAGGGGAGTGAGTGGCTAAGGGCAGCGAGTGACTAAGGGGAGTGAGTGGCTAAGGGCAGGCAGCGAGTGGCTAAGGGCAGCGAGTGGCTAAGGGGAGTGAGTGGCTAAGGGAAGCGAGTGGCTAAGGGGAGCGAGTGGCTAAGGGCAGCGAGTGACTAAGGGGAGTGAGTGGCTAAGGGGAGCGAGTGGCTAAGGGCAGCGAGTGACTAAGGGGAGCGAGTGGCTAAGGGGAGCGAGTGGCTAAGGGCAGCCAGTGGCTAAGGGGAGCGAGTGGCTGAGGGGAGCGAGTGGCTGAGGGCAGCGAGTGGCTGAGGGCAGCGAGTGGCTAAGGGGAGCGAGTGGCTGAGGGCAGCGAGTGGCTAAGAGGAGCGAGTGGCTGAGGGCAGCCAGTGGCTGAGGGCAGCGAGTGGCTAAGGGCAGCGACTCAGACACGGCGTACCACTCGCCACTGACGGGCGCCGTGTTCTGGGTGTGGAACTCGGGGTCACACACACGTGCCCGCCCCCCCCGGGTTTGCATTCGCGCGGTACAATAACCACTGCGCCAACCCCTTCGAATTAAAACGAATGCAGCAACAATTCGAAACGGACAACACACAATTCACCCGTGTAGTACTAACACTAATTATCATCATTCACCTTTGGCTACTCGAGCGTCCCGTCCGGACTTGTGCTGGACTTCCGCGTTGTTAATCTCTCTCTCTACCCCCCCCCCCCACCATTCGTGTCGGCGATCACACGCGAGCCCCACGCACACCGCAACACCTGTACAATGCCACACCATTTGTGATGTTACACACGGCGCACGCTGGATTGTTCCCCTCTTAACCACAGCATCACGCTTACCTTGAACGGGCTCCGTCGGTGATGATGCTGGTGGTGGTGGTGCTGGCTGCTGCCGACGAATGTGACGACGTCGAGAGAAGAGACTTGCTAATTGGTGTTACCGACAACGATTTCACCTACCCCAGCATTCGGTTAATTTCGACCGATTTTTTTTTGGTATTTTTTTCCCCCGCTGGATTTTTTGTTGTTTGTTACGGCAACCTCTTTATCATCTCCGCTTATCAAACACCGTCACGAGAACCACCACCACCCCCACCCCCCCCCAACACACCTCACCGCGGGGAATAATAAAATAAAATCAATAACCTTACTGTAAGACCCACGGGTCAACCTAATACGGCCAGCAGCCCATCCGTGTCCACGCGAGCGAGCGAGCGTGCGTGTATGTGAAGGGGTCCGGCCTGAATTAACGAATCGAATACTCGGCACGACTCGCGCGCATGTCGATTCCGAATAGTTATTCTCTAAATGTGGTAAGGCGGGGGAGGGTAACAAAAAAATGCTTCGTCGATTCAGTAATCGATCAACGTAACTGGAATCGGCTGGAGCTCTTGCGGACGCGATGTGTTGACTTGGATCGAATCTATATGTGAGCGCTTATCCCAATATAATCGATTCCTCGAGAATCGCCTCTTCCCGTCTTAATCTCGGCCTGATTCTTTTTTTTTGGGGGGGGGGGCACTCTGCTGCGCGATGACGTCATTTACCACGGGTTGGCGACGTCACGCGCCTAGCAACGACGTAACGTTAAGTACGCGATTACGTCACCCCACCTTGAAGTATCGCGCATCAACCCAAGTACGTGATTACGTCACGCCAAGTACGCGATTGCGTCACTCCACCTTGAAGTATCGTACGTCACGCGCGCACACTGTGCGCGTCACGCCAAGTACGTCATTACGTCACGCCGCTTGTGTAACCGCGGCTACGTAATGTTATGTTTACGTGGTGACGTCATGCGTTGTGGATAAACGCGTGGCGGGCAGCAGGAGGCAGTGAAATCCATTGTTGGACTGCACTGAATGAGAATCAGAATTTAGTTTAGTTCCATTTATTTGGTATAGCCCTGTGAGCCATTCGGCTCTTGAATCGGGTGCAACCACAACAAACAAAAAACAAAAACATGAACAAACAGAAAATCGAGGAAAAAAAACATCAAAATATTCCTGAAATAGCACCGTACACCAACGCTGTGTGCAAAAATCCCAGTGGGATGCAAGTCAAACAACAACAACAACCACAAGACAACTAAGATTAAGGCCATCAGTCTAACTCCGTACTACAATAAACAAAAACATGGGCAAACCAAAAAACGTTTTCTAAATCACCAAAATAAAGCCACAAATGCAATGTACCAGTGATCATAGGGACTGTGACCGAATTTTTAACAATAAACTACATTAATAACATGTAACACCAAACCCTAGAGGCATAGCTGGCTGCATGAGTCACTCTACAACAACAGGAGCATCAGTCGGAGTATCAAATTTTTCAATTCACCTTTAAGATTAGCACACTAAATCAAAATACAGTTAATAATTGGCAGCGGTCATCCAGAGCGAAACATTTTCTTTTATTTTACGCCAATGAATAGCAGTGGCAGCTAGGGGTGTACAACTCCTCTAGAGCAGTTTTGAGTGAAGATCTCATAGTGATTCAAGTTGCAGTTTATTGGCAATAGCATTCCAGACCCTGGGGGCATCAATAGCAAAGGCCCATCCTCCGGTTTTTGTACGGCAATAGGGAATGTGAAGCTGGTAAATGAGCGAAGACCTGAGGTCAAATTTGTTCTTTAAAACAGAGAGGTGATCCAGCAGGTAGTATGCGGATTTTTCCGTAAGTACATCGTGAATAAATAAGATCTGGTGCACAAGCCGTCGAACATTAAGAGATGTTAAGTTTGACCCAATGTAGAGATCACAGTGGTGAGTTCTATATGGGCAGTTCAATGCAAATCTTAAGGCCGAGTGATAGATGGAATCAAGCTTCTTCAGTACATTACTTGGGGCTGATTTATACACGATATCACAGTAATCAAGTAGAGGCAGTATGGTAGCTTTTATCAATTCCAAACGGAACATAGGGGGGAAGCAGTGCTTGTGTCGATACAGAAAACCATTTTTTTGTCTTTTTACCAATATAATCAATGTGATCTTCAAAATTCAGTTTTGAATCCAGGATGACCCCAAAATACTTATAGATCTTGACTTGCTCTATTTGATAATTATTTAAGGAATGTAATTGGGGAAAAATAACTTCCTGCTTTAGTCCCGGTGAGAAGCATAGCACCTTGGTTTTGGAGGTATTCAGGACTAGTTCAAGAGCAACTAGCTGATGTTGTAGTTTGTTGAAATCACCCTGGAGCTTAGCAATCACGTCATCCGGAGAGCGGCCAACAGTAATCAGTATCGTGTCATCTGCAAAAAGATTTACCCTGGAATGATCCAGGTCAGTGCCCAAGTCATTGACATAAAGAGAGAACAAGAGGGGCCGAGGATGGAACCCTGTGGAACCCCTTTTGTTATCTTAACACTGTTTGACCTCCAACCATCTGTGAATACAGTTTGTGTGCGAGAAATAGGTAATTTTTTTAACCATTTTGCTGTGTTTTCGGAAAAACCGAGGCAACTTAGCTTACTAAGCAGGATATTGTGGTCTACTGTATCAAAAGCTTTGGACAGGTCAAGAAAAAGACAGGTCAAGAAAAAGACAGGCAAAGTACTGCTTATTTTCAAGGCTTCTGTAAATGTGATTCAAAGAGTCTAATGCAGCAGATGTGGTGCTGTATTTTTTTCGGAACCCAGATTGTTTTAGATGTAGTAGATTGTTGGTGGACAGGAAACTACTAATTTGGTAGTTCAATCATTTTTCAAAAATTTTCCTCAATGGGGACAAAATTGAGATAGGTCGGTAGTTATTGGGATCATCTTTAGGGCCCTCTTTGTGAAGTGGACGGACATAGGAATGTTTCCATTTTCTTGGTTCTTTCGGTAAAGTCACGTTGAAGGGAAACAATAAAATAATAAGATATATATAACAATAAAATTATCACGACGTTTCGACTGCAACACAAGCAGTCATCATCAGGTGTGAAAACCAACGGCAAGAACATTTGAAAGAAGTGGCGGTTTGTATTTTTTTTACGTTAGCACCACGGATAGCGATTTGACAGTTTGTTTAGATGGATGAGTCCATCTATGTTCGGAAAAGATGAGGGGGGAGATGAAAAATTAATGTATGCTGTCTGAAAGCCACCGTAAGCGTGAACAATCAATTAAAACCCGAAATGGTTTATCAAATCCTTCCAATGATTGCTAAGCCAGAATCCATCTTCTCGGTTGAAATTGTCTCTGTGTTTGCATATGTGGATAGCCTCATGAACGAATCTCTCATGGTAGCCAGATGGCTTGCAAAGAACCTCTGTCTTGGAGAAGTTAATGTCATGTGAGCCTACTGAATTATAACAGTGATCTGCCACGGCCGAGGTGTTGGTCCTACCGTGTTTAAGGTCTGCTTTGTGTTCACGAAGTGTGGCACTAGATATGGCCGGGAGGGACAGCAGTAGGATACACAGCAGGTGAATTGCCATCTCTAAAATATCCGGGGTAAACACAGATTAACTCACAAGCGGAAAAGAAAAAAATATAAATACTTGTAGGCCGAGCGCTAGAAAAACGTCTTGCTGCACTCGTCACACATGCACGGCTTCTCGCCCATGTGCTAGGGTTGATCAGTCCCCCCACCTCCCCAGACAGGGAAATCAGATTTTTGGCTGTATGTTATAGTTGAATAAAGCCACGGACATCGTTATCGATTAGCCGACTAGTCTAAATTAAACCACGAGGCGTGTTAACGGCCCAGAGCAGCGTCAAAAAAGGCCGGGTAAATATATCACGCGTTTAAGAAACAATAGTACGTAGAAATAATGCATATACAAAAAAAACCAGAGCAGCCAACACCAAGACTGTTCTGTTAAATTGTAGTCATTATTTCAGACCTTATTGGTCACCACCGTTGCCCTTGTACATCTGAACTTTCGTCCTACAAAGTCTCCATCACAAGGGAGAAACACAAAGACATTTTTTTAAAATAAAGTATTAAAGCTTTCGTGACTGCATACAATTACTCATTGTTTTTTTCGGTAAAGTCACGTATGTAGAAATACAATAAAATGATATTTTAATATAATTTTTTGTTGTTGTCGGTATTGAAACGGCTGTACGCCGTATGGACCTGAAAACTCAATTACCCTGTACAAGAATAGGGAGCAAACCGTATGGGTAGACAGGATATGCGACTCATCGATCATTCAGTACAGTACCGTATAAGGAGCCGTCCATAAATGACGTCACGCACCTAGGGGGGGGGGGTCAGACATTTGTGACGATGTGTGACGAGGAGGGGGGGGGGGGTTTGAGAAATGTGACGTCACATCAAAATGCGCAACTTTAAATAAATATAGACAACACGTTCTACTTAATTAAATCGACTTTTTAATAAATGTTTTCTCCTACAACATCAGAGTGCAGCGGCACATTAAATACGCACTACAATGACAATAGTTTAAAGCGACTTGAAACGTATTCTTAGTTTTTTCGGTAAAGTCACGTTGAAGAGAAACAACAAAATAATAAAATATATAAAACAATAAAAAATCATCTGAAGATGACCGTTTGAGTTATGGTCGAAACGTCGTGAGAATTTTTTATTGTTTTATATATATTTTATTATTTTGTTGTTTCTCTTCAACGTGACTTTACCGAAAAAACTAAGAATATGAATTACTGCAGTCACGAAAGCTTTAAATCAAGACTTGAAACGTGTTTTATTTTTTTGCGGGGGGGGGGGGGGCTGAGCTTTGTGACGTCATATTTGAGGGGGGGGAATCTGACTTTTTGTGACGGGAGGGGGGGAGGTTAAAAAATCCTCCAAAATCGCGTGACGTCATTTATGGACGGCCCCTAAGTGACTCGAGGCTGTGACAGATATTTATTAATCTAGTTTATAAATCGATTATTAATAATTCAATTGATCATTCATCGGATCGAATTTCCTTGACCTCGTGTCGCCGCTGAGGGGCGTTTCGCTTCTTCCACGCTCGCTCTCTGCAAGC